TGCCCTACAAGTACTTACATGTTTTTATGAAGGGAGATATCAGATGTGTGCTGCAAATGTCTATGTTCATCTGAATGCACCCTTAATTTCTCCACTGACCATGACATGCCAGTTTCTTCATCTCAACCAATGCACAGTTGTTGCCTCCCACCCCCAAATCTGCAGTGCTGCTGCCACCCTCTTGCTGGCACCAGCTTCTGTGAAGCTGCAGAGTGCATAGGGTTAGGGGATGGATCCATCTGCAAACCAGCTTGTCAAGGCAAGGGAAGAAAAAGGGATGCTTTTAACCAAATCTGTTCCTTGGTCCTGTATGCTGCCCGTACCTGACACAGTGTTAAGGGAGATGGGGAACCTCCAATCTGAGATGGGATGGAGAGCTAAACCCTGTCTTTTGACATTGCCTATAGTTAAGTCAACTTAAAGCATTTGAGTGGCAGCATAAGGATAGCGTTTTTAAGACTGTTAAGTCCTTGTTTGGAAGAGAGAGCTAACGTTATCTGCAGAGAATGGTTATAGATCCCATCTTGGAGTCTGGGGATATATTCAGTGGAGCTTCTCAAAGTCCATTTTCTGCAGTTCCCCCAGTGGGATGAATATCAGCCCTTGCACAGCTGTAAATCTTTTTACTTGCATTAGCTCCATGGTAGCTAAATCTCTTACATGAGCTGAAAATAGGCCTGATGAGAGGCTTCCGTCTTGTCTTGAACACCACAAGTGTAACAGGAGGAAAACACATAAACTTAGCAGGGTTCAAACAGTTGTGTTAATAGACTATATGTAGGAGACCAAAGCTAGCTACTGATACATGCAGCTTGTTCCAAATACAACATCCATAGGTATGTGAAGGGGAATCCCTCATGCCTGTACTCACCACAGGCCCTGGAAAAAGTGTAATTTCCACATGGCAGGAGAAATGCTTTGCTTGGCTGTGCTCTGGCTGGAAGCCACAGGGAAGGGTTTGCATGGAAAGCATATCCTGCCTTTTGAAATTGAATTTGACCGGCTTTGGGAAGAACTTTAGCCATCTCAAGCCTCCTGCTGTACCGATCCTATCAGAGATGGCAGATTTCTGCTTTTCTTTTCTCCATCTTCTGCCTTCAAAAACTGGCTGAAAATGTTGCAGCTTGCCACAGAAAGAGGGGAAATTAAAGAACTATGCAAATTCTCCTCCCTTTCCTCCTCCTGCCCTCATCCACACCAAGATAAAAGGAAAGTGTGAGAGAGGCTGGGTGTCACCCTGAGCGTTTCTGAACTTCCTCCTTTACAAACAGGCTGTTTTGGTCTCCGCTGAAAGAGCAGGCAGTGAAGGCACCTAAAATGAAAGACAACTGAGGGAATTATTTGCATGCCCATTCTCCACCATGAGGCCTCCTGGTTGCTAGAAGTCGGGGAGGAGAGGTAGGGAGGTGAACCATTGCTGTCAGTGGTTGGTGTTGCTCATGAGGAACAAGCTTTCTTGAAGGCTGGAGGAAGGCCCTGAGGTGTGTTGAGTTATGCTCATGTACAGATCTCTGCCATCTGCATAAACATCTCTCTGCATGATCAGGGCTTGCCTTTTTGGCTGGGAGACGCCTTTCAGGAGGTGAGGCAAAGTTCATATCCTTCAGCTGTAACCCCTGGCTCCGCTCTCTCAGTGATGCTGATCCTCAGGTTATGAATTCATTTTGCATGTGCAGTTTTGTTTCCAAAGGGAGGTGCAGAGAGAGCCGAAGATATTCCTTCTGACCTCTAGAAAATGACAGTAAATAAAAAGAGAATCTCAAGTTCTCAAGAATTTCCACTTCTAAGTGGGCCTTGTTGCAGCAGTCATACCTCGTGTATGTATCAGGTCCATTCGACAAAACCCAACAACACAAATCCCACTGAAGGCAGCTGTCTCAAATATAGTTCCTTGGCTGACTTTGAGCCAGAGCTCTTCTCTTCCTCTCTCCTTAACCACAATTGATTAAGGAAATTATGGAGCTTATTACTTCCTAATATCATCCGGAAAGGATTTCCATATGTTGCATTACTCTGGAGTGGGAGAAGCTCCCTTGTGCCAGCGAAGCAGGGTGCTGAGCCCTGATTAAGCTGTACTGGGAGGTTTATTGGAGGAGAACTTGCAGGTGTTTCTGCATAGAAATATGCACTTCATCTGTAATTTTCATATACCTTACAGTATCCTTTCCACTGGGAAATTAAGCAGACGCTCTCCATATCCACTGCAGCTGCTTCTAGTGTTAAATTAAACTGCTGCTATTATAGTGAGCCATTCCTGGAGCTAAGCTGTGTTGTTCCTTAATTGTTTATGGCTGTGGATTTGAGCCAAGTAGCAGTCCTGTAGTGGCAAATGCTGAAGATATGTCCTGGAAAACAGATGTTTGGGCCAAGGCCAAAGTGGTTTCAGGAAAGACAGTGAGATAGAAGCAGGAAGCCTGTTATCGTCTGATTTATTGGACAGGGTGAAGAAATTCCCCCCAGGGCAGAGTGCTCCCACAAGTTTGGTACAACGCTGAACTGTGATTTTAGCCATTCTTTGCAAGGCTAATGTGGGCAGCTGTTAGTTTGCTAGTGCAAGCACTAGGCATACCAAACCTATGCCCTTTGGAGATGACCAGAAGGTGCTTTTCCATTTGCTGGTTTCTGCCAAACTTCTTGCGAGATAGACTGGCTTATGTGGTGGTCCCAACATACTTTTCTTCCATGGTGGCAGTCCAGTCTTTTAGACATAATGCAGCAAGTTTTTCTTGGTTTTGCTTTTTTTTTTTTTTTCCCCTGTAATGGATTTGGGGATTCTGATCAAAACCATATCTCTATAGTGGAGATGCCCAATGTGAACAGGTTATCCCCACTCATTCCCCCTTGCTGTCAAAGCAGAGAAGCAAGCGCTGCCAGAGGTTTCATCACATGCTATCAGGGTCTAAAACAGGTCCTGCTCTTGTTCTGACGGTTCCAGTTTCTCTCTGCTTGCTCCAGCATGAGTCCAGGTAACTGCCTCATATGGAGACACTGACAGTGTAGACATCTAGGATTAGGTGAGATCTATCCCATGCAGGGTTTCATGAGGTGTGGATAACAGAAAAAATGAAGTAAGGCACCAGAAGGATGAGTTTTGTTTTTCTTAAACATAGTTGTTTAGGAAATTGCTCAGCAGACATGATTGTGGACCTTTAGCATATCCAATGACCATATTTTCTCCGTGACATTCATATTCAGCAGTATAGACTAGTTTCACAATTTTCGTACAGCACTGACTTTATGGAAATGAACCAATTATGAATTTCGGGCTCAAATCTTTAATTTTCATTCTGTTTATTTAGCACTTAAGAATCTATTGCTACATATGGAGCATTTTAATCCCAGGAAGTCATCAAAACTTTTGACTTTGTTTATGTCCTCAGGTGCTCAACATGTTCATTAATAATTTTGACCATCACCCTATTTTTTTTTTCCCAGGATTTTGCAAGTCTTGGATAGGGAGTGTTTACAGCCCTCTTTGCACATCCTGATGGTCCTGTTCATAGAAGATTAGGTCCTGGAAACCAAGGCTGTGGGAGCGAAGGACTTGGAAGAGATTGTATAATCTTCTCTTTCCCATCAGTCAATAGAAGCACTAGTGAAGTATAGCTGTAGGCAGACAGAAAACAACTTCCTTCGCATGAAAGGCGTGAGTAGAAGACTGCAGATATTTGACTGATGACCTTGGTTCTTGTTAACTTCCCACCTGGTGATGCTTTGCACAGACAGAACATGCAACTGCTTGAATTCCCCTTTGATCTGTTTTTCTTTCTGCTTTCAGACCAAACAGGCTTCTTACTTTGGGAAACAAAGGAAGTGTCCTAGTAGCTAAGTCAAAGGGGAATAAATTATTCGTTCCTTTTAAAGATATTTTTCTTATCTAACTTGATTGGATTTCTCAGCCTTTTAGCCATTTTAGGTCACAAAACGTTTGCTGTTCTGCTTTGCTAGCCACAAGTGCCTCTATTTACAGAGCTAAATGTGCTTGAATATGTAAGTTCTAGAGCATGAGTATGTAAGTTCTAGAGTTTTAGGCTTTCTAGAGCAAGTTCATCAGGGGCTTAGCCAATGTACTTAGAATACCCTCTGGGGAGTTGCCACTCTTGTCCTGAAGAGCACAATTCTGCTCATCTCCTGGATGCTACCCTAGAGGGTGCTTTGCCTTTCCCGCTGCATTCTGTAAAACTGAACAAATGCTGATACTTAGGAAGATATGATCTCCTAGTTGAGGACAACGCAATACCCAGAGGTCCTTGGCCAGTCTTCAGAAGAGCCTTGAAGCCACCAGTGGCCCATTGCCTGTTCATTCATGGGGAGACACATGGTTCACAGTGTTTCCTCTCTTCCTTTCCTTTGTTGTCGCCCCAAGAACCCAACAGCTTTCCTCTCTTTTCAAGCACATTATCCAAGAGGGTTTATGAGTTCCTGACGCAGACTTAGACTGGTTGTTTGGGGACCCGTGAGCTGCACCAGGAAGGAGGGTCTTCCTGTGCTGTCTATTATGGGGGTTGGCTTTATGCAGGGTAACATTTAGGGGAGCTTCTTGGGCAGCCCCCCTCCCACACACACACTCAAATCTCCAACAGAGAATAGCTGCCTATTGCTTTATGGGCCATGGGCTGTCCCATTTGCAAAATGCATCACACAGTGAGTACTCAGCACTTAAGAAAATTCAGGCCAAAGTAGTTTGTTCCAGTTTACATTTCAGTCCTACGCTAACTGTAGCTTTGTCTTCATTTTCTAAACCAGGAAGAAGAAGAACATGTCAGCATAGCCAAGAGGCAGACAAAATGACAGCTCGCTGACACTTGGCCATGCACTACCAGAGAGTTGTTCTGAATTTTACGCTTGCCCTGGACTTTTGTACAGAGGGCTGATGGAAACGCATCACTCCATACTGCCGAGTAAGAGGAAAGACACTCTGGCAAAGGGCTGCCATTTTGTGTCTCAAGTTTTCTTCTTTCCTTGATTCTCCTCTCTCTTGTTTCTCTGAACAGAGAGTTTGAGTTTTACAGTCAGCCCCACCACAGGAGGAGTTACCTTGATTCTTTCAGCTAAGAAAAGTCTTTCGATGTTGTCCACAAGTGTGATGAAAACAGGAGCCCCTCCAGTCAGAGACTGAACTTGTCTATCAGGAAAATACTATCTACAGGTAAGAAAATACTACTCCCAGAAGTGAATGAGGATCTTCTTACATGCGAAGCTAGAGAAGCTGCCCTTGGAATAAACAATTTGAGTAAAAAAAAAAAAGGAAGAGAGAGTTGTATCCTCCCAGACACTTCATTCAACTTTCTGTTGTTGTTGTGGAACAACATATTTGGCAGATAATGGCTAGTGATGAGACTTCTCATTTAACTTTGATGGTCCAAGAGTTATATATCTACAGCTAAGTTTAAAGTGCCTCTTGCCCCCCATTGGCTAAAAGAAATGCCAGGAATGACTAGCCCAGATGACATCAAAAGTTGGGTGGTAAAGCCCAGCCTTTGTGCCCAGATGGCACAGTGATGGGCACCAGCTACAGCAGCAAGTGCTGGCTTCACTGAATCTTCTCATTGGAAGCTCTGAAAGAGCCTACAGAAAAGACCAACACAAACCCGTTGGTGTGTTTCCTGGCATTGTGTTTTTATATGTTTCTGTTTTCAGACACTGAAAATTATTCTGGAGATCACTCTTCTCTTTGCCCCTCCCACTATATGGTCTGGATCATATGAGCTGAATTTTCTCTTTATAGCTTCACTGGGTCAGCACCCAGTGAACTGAATGCCTGAGATCATTTCCACGTGGTGTATAAATAGTGCTCAGCTATTTCACAGTCTCATGTTCAACTTACAGGCTTCCAACGGGCTTGTCTTCCCGAAACCCTTTCTATTCTCATGGCATTTGGCTCCTTGAACACGTGACTTTATATAAATTACAGCAGAAGTTGTCCCAGCCCAGAAAGTCCTGATTTGGCTTCGCGGCTCTGTTGTAGTCTGACAGCTGGTGTCGAGTCACTAATACTCAAAGCTACTGCAGATCTTTCCAGCCTCGCTTTGCATTCAGACACATGGTTAAGCTGACAGCTGAAGTTTAAACTGCCTTACCTACATCAAACCATGTTTGGCCAGTTCATCATCTCATTAGACGGTGGAGGAAGTCTGAGACTTTCCTGCTGGATGGATAACTAACGTCTGGTTGACTCCTGTCCAGTGGAGATAAGAGGCTGGTTAAAACTGAGGGAATTTTTAGACTCTTTTCAGTTATCACTCGTCTTTTGTTTGACACAGGACTTGTCATGTCTCCCTTTCTTCGTATCGGTTTATCCAACTATGACAGTGGCCCTTACCTGCCATCCCAGGGGGAGGTAATTAACCCTTACTGTGCCGTGATGGTTAAAGAAGCAGTGGAATCAGGTAAGAATTAAATATGCATGTAGCATGATTTTTATCAGATATATGTGTGTGTTACTGTGTCATTACAGGAGGAGGTGGGAAGCACCTTTGTAAAGGGTTTGTGAATTATTCTTATTGTTGAAATGCAGCTCAGTGTTGGATCCAGCACGGCCTGCCAGGCAATCTGACTTGAAAATGACACTTAATAAAGTCTCCGTCCTTACTTTGTGGTTATTATCAACTGAATTACAGGTCCCAGTGTATGACACAGCAGGATGAGCTGAGCTGTATTTAGTTGTGCTGTTATCTGAGCAGTGGCTGGTTTGCCAGTGGGACACCAGACTTATAAAATCTAAATGTCCTGGAAATTCCTGTGAAGGCTGCCTTTATTTGTCACACTTTTTTGAGGGACTGTGAGATTCAGCAACTTCCATCATTAAAAAAACTCTCAAACAGGCTCAATCTTTGGAGAGAGAGCTGATTTCTCTAGTTGTTGTACTCTGCAAAATGTCCAAGACTGAAACTTTATACTAAGCTACATGCTTTTAGATACAGATATAAAGACTTTTGCATGCTTATCCTTAGCATTAATGAGTCCATGTTGGGAAAGTATTTCTTATTTTCCTGATTCATATAAAAATCTTGGTGAGAGTTTAAACAGTTCTTCAGTTCTGCTCTTCAAAGATCATGAAGATCAAATCCCTCAAGGCTATGGTATCCCTCATGGGTATTGGCTGTTACTTGTCTTAAATCTTTGATAAATTATGAGATTTATTGCTCGTGTGATTCTTTTAAAACTTAAAACAACTCACAAATCCTTTTGGAAATGGCAGGACTATAGCCTCCAGAGGATGTTAAAAGTAGTTGAAAAAAATTAGAATTGTAAAGTGATTTAGTGGTTCATTGTTAAAAAAAGAAGTCATCACCATTTATCACATTAAAATGTTGGCTTTGCTTATATTATTCTTTAAATCATTTTAGAAGATGTAGTGATTGATAAATTCAGAAGGAATAAAAAAACTGCTGCATGACAAGATCTCACTTTTTACTTTAAAAATGTCCTATTTCAATTCTGTGCGGGGCTTGGCTGTTTGTTTTAATGAGAAGGAGCCATAACTCAAGCTGAAGTCTCTGTCAGTTCAAAAGTGAATAAAATCAGTCTGGGCAGAACAGACCTTATTTATCTTACATGGAGCTGAAAGCATTTTCTGGCATCTAAAAAAGCAAAAATGTACTAACAAAGGCATATAATTTTTGTTCTGCTGAGAGCCTTTTCTAATAAAAGAACTTCCAATGTGAAATGAAAAGACTATGTTTGGAGGAACTCTTTTCCCTCAGTGAGGATTGAATAGAGGGAAGATCATGGCCCTGTATTAAAAGATTTCCTCTACTGGGGTGGGATTGCTGTCAGGGAGGTTCCTCTCAGCCTGATCTTTGGTCCTCATCAGCTGGGGTGGGATTGCTGTGCTCTGAGCACTCTGGGGCAGTCAGGGAGGTTCCTCTCTCAGCCTGATCTTTGGTCCTCATCATGTCAGCTCTTTCATGTCAGTGGATAATGGCAGGAACCACCTGAGACTGATTCATCCCACTGGTCTCTGACCTCTTTGTAAGGTAAGATGAATCACTTTTGGGACATGTTGGTCTTAATCTGTTGCTGATGGAGGATGCATAGATGCCTGGATGCTTAGCCCTATGTCAAGGTGACTAAGATAAATCCTCCTGTGGATTTATCTCCTCTAATTTTGATCTTATGCAAGAATATCGATACTTGATAAATTTGGTTATCCTTCCTTTGTAGACCAGAGGAACCTATAGACTTCCATGATAAGATTAGTTTCATCTTAAGGAGAACATCTAGAGAAGTTTTGAGGAATCACATCCTAGAAATGCCTGCTGCTTTCCACTGGCTCCTCAGAGCTGTGTCATGCCTAGAGGAGTTAGTGTTGCAGAGTCTTGTGAATTGAGTGGGCCTTTAGAGGAAAGATGAGTGAGAAAAAGCAGTGAAGAAGAAATATGGGAAGGATAAAAGGAACTAGAGATTCTGGAGGAGAAAGAACAATGCTAATAGAGCAAGGAAAGTAAGTGGAGTGGTAAGAATGGTAAGAGACAGCATCTAAGATGAAGCATGAAGCTGCCAGAGTCTTTCAGCTCATATGATCTGAGACTGGGAACAGAAAAAAAAAGGACTTTCAGATTCTTGCTCCTCTGCTCTGGCATATTTCTAGCTTTTGATCTTTCGTTCATAGTTTACTCTCCAATTCCCTGGTTTCATGCAGCAGTGTCACCAGCACTTTCACCAGCAGTTTCACCAGTGGTAGAAGATGCAAGAAATCCTGGCTATCAGCTCTGCGCTCTGATCTGGTGCTATTAGAGTTTTCAAAAGGCAAATGATTGCTATGTAACAGTGATCAGACACTGCAGGACAGGATGAACCTAATCCCAACCCCAAACCGTCACAGATCCAAACCTAAATCCCTGCAGTTGATCTTTAATCTATTCTCTGTGTCAGAATAATCTTGGTAGATGTCTTTTCTCCAGATTTTGCAAAGTCCTGGTGGGGATCAGATATACCATGTGAGGTATTAGCAAAAGTGAGGTGTTTTTGAAGAAGGGTGAAAGGAGTGGTGATAGGTATTTAATATGTTTACTTTGCAAATGAAGGAGATAAGTCTAACTTTGGGTTCATGCCAAGGGCTGCCCCAGGTCAACCATCTGGGACGAATAACTTGCTACTGGCATAAAAGATCTCAAGGTATTGGATATCACTTGTGGGCCCAGGGGTACCACAAGGACTCCTTAACGTATTTCAGGAGCTCAGGAGAGACCTTGGGTGGTCTTTTGGTTTTTTTCCACCTTTTTGTTTTGCAGAAAGGATCTTGGTATTTTATAATATAGAAAGGAAGGAAGGGAAGGAAGCAAGGAAGGAAGGAAAGAAGCAGAAAGGCAGGAAGGGAAGGAAGGAAGGAAAGAAGGAAAGAAAGAAACATTATAGCAGTTTGTTACTGATGACAAACCATTCCAGAGATCACAAGCTCTTCTGAGGAATAGAAAAAAATCCTTTAAAAATTGTTTCTTTCTCCATGAGTCATCTGTTGTCATGCCATTTTATCATCTGTCTTGGTGATATTTGCTTCATGAGAGATCTGCCTCTGTGTCTGAACTCAGTAGGCCTCCAGGAGAAGTACTCCAGCAAGAGTGGAAGCTGCTGCTCAGGACAGACAGACACTATTTTATCCTTCAGGAGCCCAGGGTTAAATTAATCCTTGGCAGAACTCCAGAAACGTCAGAGTGGATACACCAGGAATGAGTGTCTGATCCCATATATTGGCCAGTTCATTCACATTCCAGGGCTTGTTCATTTAATCCATATATTTTGGATTGTAATGCAAACCACAGTATTTGTTTTGCAAGTGCTGTGTTTCACAAGTTTAGAGTGTTTCACTGATGAGTAAAGTTTTTCACTCATTTGGCTGCTTTTGTTGACAGAATGGGTTGAATGTATGTTTACAAGCTTGAGCCTTGATCCAAGCTTTGAGCTTTGATTGCATTGTGAGCTCAGTATCCTGTTGTCTAAATCTGTATATGTGAAAAGTTAAAGTAAATGGAAAAGGCTTCTGGTTGTTTAATGGGAAATTAACTCAGTTGCTCTCTAAGCTTTGATGAAGTGGAATTTGAACCTAGGATTTAGCTGCACAACCTTTGGTCAAGCTGGACAGAATGACATTTCTTGAGATTTAATATTGCACAATTAGGGACCACTGAGATTATTGTTTGTTCATTTTTTTTCCTTTTCTCCAATAACTTTTTTCAACTTCATTGACTAATTTTAATCCATCCTGGAAGTATGCTACAAGCCTCAAAAAGCCTCACTGAGTTGCTGCCTGTTTTGTGTAAATCAAAGCTGAGCAGAGAAGAGAGACCACGAGTACTCCTCCTACAGAGGGAAAGATAGATACAGATTTCCTTCAGCAATGAGCAAATGTCACATTTCAGGCTATCTGTTGCATGTGCTTTTCGAACCAGGTAGGACAAGGGAAGGACTGGGTGTCCTGGATATAGAGGTAGCATCTTTAGGAAGCAGGATTCATAAGGTCTGATGTTCACCCAACTTATTTCTGTGCTCTTATTTCACCAGCTTTGACACTCGATGGGTTGAAAAGTTACAGAGGGTAACTATGAGATAGAATTTACCTTAAGTAAGCGTCCAAGCCTTTTACAGGATATAAAACTGCCTGTATGAAATAAAACAAGCTAGCTGAGACTCTTTTCATTTGACAGGTCAAAATAAAGACATGACTGTCAGTTATGGTAGGCCTCAAAGATACGTTTCACCATTTTAAGATGTGCCTGCTATGAAGGAACAAATGCATGCAGCGAAAGTGCAGAAGAGGTTTGCTAGGTCAACAGCTCAATGTGGATATGTTTGCAAGACTGGAAGTGACTTTACACGTCAGTGTCCCTAAGTTAGCTAAGATGTAGCAGCTGACTGGATGTGCACTACAGCTGAGCCTAGTAACAAAGTACATCCAGCTTCATGGGGAATTGGAACAACTGGTTTTATTTTGCAGTGCCATGAGTCAAATGATGCATGTGTGTTATCCATGTTGAGATTCATCTGCTTTGATATGGGTATCTGTGGTACAGGTGTCTTTATCTGAGATCTACTCAACAGAGTTAGCAGAGTCAAGGATGAAAATTATCTTTATGGTAGATGTTTTCAGTTGTTGAAATGAGTTGCGCCATTATGCCTTTGTTAACTAAAACTTCACTTGCTATAAGTGTTATGCCTTTGTTTTATGTTAACTAAAACTTCACTTGCTATAAGTGAAACCAACGTTCGTATAGTGCAGATCTGGACATGTGCATTATAGCCAGATATTGCTGGGTGAGATGAATCTCCTCCCTGGTTTTACTTGGCGCAGAAACTTCCTGAGACTCTTCAACATAATCCATTATGGGCCCACCTGAGATACCCACCTAAAAATGGCTAAATAACCCAGTCCAATTATTCCAGACCACTTCTTGTTGACAGAAAATGGCCAAGTGTACGTGCAGAAGAAGCCCACCATGTACCCGCCCTGGAACAGCACTTTTGATGCCCACATCAACAACGGCAGGGTCATGCACATTGTTGTCAAGGACAAAAGCGCTGAAATGGTTTCAGAGACGACGGTAGAACTCAAAGTGCTGGCAGAGAAGTGCAAAAAGAGCAATGGGAAGACAGAAATATGGGTGAGTGTTTCTATCTCCTTTTGTATCCTATGACTGCTGTAGGGTAAGGGAATGTCCTTCCTTGTGCCTGTCTCTGAATGTAAAGCAACGTGGCAGCAGGAAGGGATGCCATTAAGTTATTAATGGTTTGAGTTTACTTGAGCATGACGTGAAAGAAAGATGTCCATGAATATCAGAAAAGAACAGCATAGAAGATTTATATTACCTGCTGTTGTTGTATTGAAACATATATGCTCTATTAGCAAGGATTCTGGTTCATGCGAGCCATGCCCATATATTAATCTTTGCTTAGGAAACCCACTGGGGACAAATGGTAATATGAGTGGTTAAATGTGAATTATTTTATGTGATTCTGGGGAAACAGCTTTACAGATTTAACCTTTCTAATATCAAGTAACTGATTCACAGCTGCCTGGCTTTAGAGTTATGCCAAAGGAACTCCTTTAAAATCGCTGGAGTTACACTGGAGTAAATTTGAACTAACACAGTCCTCCTAAGGATGCTAAATGTTAAACTGTATTATCTGTCAGGAAAGTTGTTGGTAATAGGCTTTAACATGTAGTATTGAGTAACCATACCCTGAATAGTAGTGGCATGACACTTGGAGAGAAAGTGATTTACTGGAATTGTTTTTTGTTTTGTTTTTCATGTGAATTCTCAGGTTAAACTGCTTGGATTAAAGCAGAGAGTAGATGTGTCAAAATGGCCTAGGACATTCATAGATCTTTGGGCAAGATTTGGTAAAGAAAGAACTGCACGTTTAATGCATAACTGGGAAGGAATTGAGATACCCGGGGCTTATTTTGAAAATCTAAAGCTCCTGTTCAGCATCGGCCCAAAGTCAGTGCACTTTTGTTTAGGCCTAGACCTCTTGGAGCCAGATTTACAAAGACATCTGTGCACAAAGATTTAGAGAAGTACTAGTTCCCGAGTCCAGCATGTAGGTCAAAAATACCTCAGAAAATTTGTATCCTCACTTGAAATAAAGTTAATGGAAGTTAGACTTGCAGAACCAAATTCTGAAAGATTTGACTAATTTTAAGCACTCGTCTGAAGCTGGTGTGATTTTTCAGAGTTGTTCCCAGGTCTTCTTTGCAGCACCCATGGGGAACAACAGGTTATATCAATAGAAAGTGCTTGGTTCAGTGCAGCTTTCTAAAATCCTGCCCACATCTATGTTTTAGGCACATTTATCTGTGTTCTATCATGCTGCCCTGAAAGTTTGATAAGAAGTGATTTAGCCTTCTGCCTGCAGCTGCTCTCACCTTCTCAACCTCTCTTCCCCACAAGGGTATGAGCAAAATTAACCCTCATTGGCATGTGTCAGTTCCCACTGGGATATGGAGGTAGTTGGAACCATCTGAAATGATTGTTGCCGTTTTGACCATTTGTGTAACAATTGTTTTGTTTTTGTTGTTGTTTTTCTCCTTGTCTCCACCAGCTAGAACTGAAACCTCAAGGGAGAATGCTGATGAATGCAAGATACTTCCTGGAAATAAGTGGCAAGTGATTTTGTTTCCTAACTGATAAATGTGACTTCTGGTTAAATGGGACAGACTCAGTGTATTCAAGAAAATGCTTAGCGCAGAAAACAGTGCTTATGTTATTACTGATTTATTCATAGAAATCATAATGGTTTGAAATGAGCGCTCCAGGAGAAGCAGTTTTTATTATGTGGCAGGAAGGAAGGCTGATTGTTCCTCTGTGATGTGCATCACATATCTTTTGGCAGTTTTACCACTGTAAAGATGTTTTTTTTTTCACACTGAGACAGGACAGAGACATAGGAAGCCAGCTCCCTCTGAAATACATGCATATGTGTATGCCTGTAGTGAGTATGAGGCAATTGTAGTGCAGAAAAAAAGGTGGGATGCTATGCATAGATGAAAACATCAAAATAAATGTGTAAGTTGGGCTTTTTAATCAAGGGCAATCTAAGTGAAACAGTGAAAGGGACTGATTCATCTGCTGTGTGGTAAGCTTACTCATTTGCTAGGCCTGCCCTGAGACCTCCAGGGACTTGGCAGCAGCTTAGTCACCCTGCACGAGACGACTACTTTTAGGTGTCCTCATTGACACCTGAATCCCACCATCAGAGTTTGATGCCCATGCAAAATGTATTTCTCTTCATCAAAGGGAAGGAGTTGCGATCCAAATGCTCCGTTGTGCACTCCTGTCTTTGCCCAACTTCTTGTCGCCTTCAGCAGGCCTGGGTTGGAGCTGTGGAAGGAGAGGGTCCAGGAAAGGCCTTCCGTGTTTGGAAGCACAAAAGTACTGAAATAAGCTAATAGCATGTTCTTACTGGTGTTATCCTCATCATTTCCCTCCTTTACTGTTTAGTAGATTCTTGCTACCTCTTTGTGTAGTTTAAGACACACGAGACGCTAAAGCACATAAAATGCTTTGTCTGTATTACAGCTGGTAGGATCAGCATCAGACTGTGCAGGGAGCCACTTCCCACAGACACTTTTATATATGAATAAAACACTAGACACTTTTCATAGACACTTTTCTATATGTGTTCATAGACACTTTTATATATGAATAAATCAAGACAGGGACAAAATGTGAGCTGTTATGTGCACAGCTAGAAGTGAACATATATGTAAATGCTAAATGCAGGTGTGTATATGCATAAGTTGCCAGAGTTGTTTTGTTTTCTGCCTGGAAAATATAAAAAGTGAACTGTGAATAATGCTATGAATACAGTAAATGGTAAGGCAACTGTTGGTATGAGGGATGGAAAAATATCAAGAAAAAGAGTGTGTGTGTATATATATATGTATATATGTATATATATGTGCGTGTACTCACACATGTGCATACACACATTAGAGATTTAGATAATTACCATCAAACAAAAGTAGATATTAAGAGTGTGTATGTGTGTACATATATGTAATGTACGTTTGCATATTTTTATGTAATTCCATCTTTTTTAGGGCATAGTTCTTCAGTGCTACAGAAAGACTTATTTTTAACTGCAAATTTTCTCTCATTAGTAGATTTCTGATCTATATTTAAAAAATATATATGAATAGTCAAGGGAGCTCAATGTTCCAAATTTTGACTGGTTCCTGAAGTCATTTTAGTGTCTCTGTAGGGATAGTGGATAAATCAGTCCCTAATGAGTCTTGTGTGGTTTTCTGAAAGCATATTTCTTAAGAATACCCATTCTCATGAATACATTACCCTCAGTCACTTAGTATTTTGGCTTCTGCTTTTTCTCAAGGTACCTCGTTAGGACAGGGTGCCCTAACAAGCCCTCTGTTTCTTTTCCCTCCAGATGCTAAGAACATCATTGACTGTGAGACCGAAGGCTTTTTCTCCTTGCACCAGCGGAGAGGAGCCATCAAACAGGCCAAAATCCATAATGTCAAGTGTCATGAGTTCACAGCCACCTTCTTTCCGCAACCCACCTTCTGCTCTGTCTGTCATGAGTTTGTGTGGTAAATGCAAATAGCTCTACATGTTTCCCCCTTTTAACTCTAAAGACCAGCGCTGCTTCTTCAGCAAATATTTCTCTGCCTGCTGTTAGGAAAGACAGCAACAGTGGACCCTTAGCACGTTACTTGTAGGAGTAATTGCATCACTTCAAGGATATGATGCGATTTTACAGATGTAATTCCAACTCTGAAAATTGTCTTCATTTTTATTTTCTTTTTTTATATATATTTGTTTTTGGCCAAAGACACTGGCATTTTAACACGTGCCATTTTGCTATTGCAAAATTCAAAATGTGAATATGTGCTGAAAATGCTGTGAAAACAACAAAGAATTACTCCAACAGCTGCACTGAATGAATATATTTGGATCTAAGAAGCTCTCTAAAGACTGATGAGGAAGCAAGGCTGATTTATTCCATGTGTCTCTCATTCTACTGTCCGTTTTTCTGTGGAGATTTTCAGAAAATTCAAAATTAACCGTTTCTGTCTTTAATTCCAGGGGTCTGAATAAACAAGGCTATCAATGCAGGCGTAAGACCTTTTTGTTGTTGTTGTTCCTCTCCTTACTTATTCGGTCTTTTCTTGAAGAATTCTTTTTACTAACAATGTGACACACTTGTTCTTTCAGAATGTAATGCTGCCATCCATAAGAAGTGCATTGATAAAGTCATAGCGAAATGTACAGGATCCGCAATCAATAGTAGAGAAACGATGGTAGGTGTTTTTGCTTGGTTGCTTTTAAAACAACTTGAGTACTATTCAGATGCACTGATACAGAAGGAGAGGGACCCAGTGCAGTGAAAGACACTAGTGAGCTGGAAGCTGTGTGATCCGATCTGTATCCTTTGCTTTTTACATTTCTAGTAGTTTCATTACCTCCTGCACGTGATTTACTCAAGTGCAGTTGTTGAACTGTCAGTCTTTGAATCAAGGCTGACATTTTTTCTAACATATAGCATATAGCTCAGAGGAAAGCCATGGACATGAGGTGGAGAATTACTGGAGGAAATTCTTTACTCTCCAGTGCTAGGCAGGATGTCACACTGAATTTTCAGAGCAGTACTTTAAAATCCCACACTGTTATCTAAGATCTGCAAACAATCAGTGGAAGGCTTAGCATTTCTGCTATAATTTCTTTTATTTTTCTTATATCAGTTTATAGCAAACCTTCCTTTTCAGTTGGCAAAAGTGGAATTTAAAGTCTTGAGTATTTCCTCTTTCTTCATTATGTCCCATAGCTCTATTTGTTCCCAGTCTCACCCTGCCTCCTACTCATTTGCTACAGTCTGAGGGGTGACATTCATCTCACCTGTCTCCACATATCTCTAGAGTAAATGTATGCAGCCTTGTCATCATCTTTGACTTGTCACATACTGAAGGAAGAGAAATAGGCACTTCCAGGAAGTGATTCATGACAGTGAAAGCAGACATTCATTTCAGGATGAGATGAATCATTCTTTAGCAGTACCCATGTTTTTCCATTGAGTGTTAGGGAGTCTGGGTCAGTAGCTGAGATGCAGACACCCACATCTGATCAAATAAATAAAACCCAGCAATTAAATTACCCATTTCCCACTGAACTGCGTGGCTGTTTTGTAGCAAAATTTGTCCTTGTCTGTCTGAATGCTGTAGATAGTTTATATTTGATGTTCAAACCCATTAACAAAGATGAAATACTGACCTAGATACCCTGCCTTCTGGAGTACAAGCTTGGGGGCTTCATATGCTGAGGTGGAGAGGAGAGCATCGTTAACACAGCTTTTTTATTGCAGTTCCACAAGGAGCGGTCCACCATTGACATGCCTCACCGCTTCAAAGTCTACAACTACAAGAGCCCGACTTTCTGTGAGCACTGTGGGACACTCCTCTGGGGCCTTGCACGGCAGGGGTTAAAGTGTGATGGTAAGTCCCTGGTGTACGAGGCAGGGGCTGAGTAGAAGCAGGCTGCTATCTTTAGGGACTTGCAATCCGAAGAATCAGATCCCATTTATCATAATTTTGAGTGAGGCTCCATTGTGGTGGGGTGTTGAAGGAGACATCATGATGACTGTCCTTCCAGGAGGACCACTATGGGCATGTAGAAGGGTATGTGGCCTGTGGGTCTTGAAGAGTTCCAGAAAGGTAAAGGCACGTCTCAGTGCTCACCTCTCTCTCTTGTCTTCCAAAATCCTGTTATCAAAATTTTGCTCCATTTCTGCTAACAGACAGGCTCAATGCACATCACTGTCTCCATGATCCTAAACCTACGGGAAGATCCTTTTCTGTGACTACAGTTGTGTCTGAGCTGATTGATTGCAGAGCTTCAGTAACCTGTGGTTTCAAAGGCTGACAGATGGAAATACAGCCTTTTCTCAGAAGCAGATATAGAAAAACAATGTGTAAGCAATCAAAAATCAACCTGAGTAAAATGAGATGTAAAAGTTGTCCATGTTTTATGCAGTTTACCTGGTTGGCATTCATCCTAGGCTCACACCAGCACATCCTGACCTTACATCAAACCCTTTGCAGCATAGCTGTTCTCTGCTGTCCTGATGCCCCTGTTCTTTCTTTCAGCATGTGGCATGAATGTCCATCACAAGTGCCAAACAAAAGTAGCAAACCTCTGTGGAGTTAACCAGAAACTAATGGCTGAAGCCCTGGCAATGATTGAGAGTACTCAACAGGTAAGTGCATCAAGCTGTGAGCCCTGAGCTAAGATAAACACCCCCATGAGAAATCAACAGAAGTCCTTTGACATCACCATATAACTCTTTGCCGTGATGAAAACTGTGGGTTCCTCTGGTGTTACAAACCCCTGAACATTAAATGCAGAGGTGGTCTTTTCATAAATAAAGACTTCTAGATCTCTGCCCATTTGACAGTCACACTCCTAGGCCAATAGTCACAGAAGAGGCAGCAGCATCCATAAGCACATTTGGTTCAATACGTATCCACTGTTTTCTGTAATCCAGGCTCGCTGTCAGCGTGACACTGAACAGATCTCTAGGGACGGACCTCTGGAAATTGGCTTCCCAGTTCTTGTGAAGGAAGTGATGCAACTTCAGACAGTACCAACTTCTACAACAGGAAAAAAAGGTAGTTTTGTTTAGTGGTTTGGGACTGTGGGCTTTTTTTTTTTT